AAAAAAAAAAGTAAATAAAAACATTAAAAACAAAACAAATCAAGAGGGGAAACAGACTCTGCCAGGATTTAATCATATGAAAGCTTCTGAGCACACGACTTGGTCGGATGGCTTCCTTATTTTTACAGTCTGTCACTGAAGTATTGCTGCAATTCCAGAACAAAGCTCAGCGTGTGCTTTGGCATCTGCCCGTTTTTTCTTGTGTATGTGAATTTTCCAAGCATCACCAGTCGTACAGAAGAACAGTGTGCTGGCTGATCTGGAGCCGCCTGTGATCATGACACACTTCAGGCCACTGTGCTCCTGTCAGTGCTGTCGCTCAATATAAACGTGTCCTAACCCGAACCCGAAGCAGGGGAAGTTATCGAGACACATTTTAAAAACCTAACCCTTCACAAACAATTTTTTAGAATTTTTGTGATAAAATTAATACAAATTATAGAACCCTGCAGCAGCATGTTGGATCAGCTGGAGGGTTCTGAGAGAGTTACTGGGACATCCTGATAATAAGGAACCACAATAGTCCAGTCTAGAAGTTCTAAATGATGGACTGGTTTCTCAGCATCACTCTGAGACAGGATGTCCTGATGTTTACAGTATTACGTAGATGACAGAAGATCGTCCTACAGACTGGTTCTATATGTCTGTTGAAGGACATGTCCTGGTCCAAAACACCTCCAAGGTTCTGTACGGTAGAACTGGAGGCCAAGGCGATGCCATCAAGGGCAGCTATCTGGTTCCAGAGTGGTTCTGAGGTGTTTAGGGCCAAATACAAAAACCTCAGTTTGTCTGGATTTAAATGAAGGAGATTCCAGGTCATCCAGCAGTGTTTCCTCTACATTCATTTAGGAGTGGCGGGCTGCCATTTCTAAATCCTAGCCACTGCTCCCTCCATTTTTGTTTTTATTTATTTATTTGTTTATTTTTTTTGTCCACTGCCTCATGTCTCCACCTTCACAGCAGAGTCCTGCACTGGGTCCGGTACTCGTGAGTACTACGGTAAACTACAGATTACTATCTTGCTCATTCTCTACTCTTTGGGAGGTTAATGCGACGTTAAGTACTGGCGAGAGCGGCCTTGAAGGTGACGTCCCGTCCAGCACCAGGCTCCGGGTCAGTCAGAGGAGGGTCGTCCTGGACAACAGGGCAGCGACTCACCGGAGGAAAGGTGGACGTATCAGCTTAAGGTAACTCAGAATAGATTTTACAAGTTAGATCGACATTAGCTAAACATTGATGAGCAGCTAGCGTTATGTAACATATTGTGGTGAGCTATGCGGAAGAATGACACTAAATACACTCTTCAGTTGCGCACTACACAAGTAGACACTTTTACTTTGACACACACACACACACACACACAAACACACACACACACACGAGCAGTGGCCGGAACACATCACACAGACTACACATCTCACTCCCGCTGTTATCAACACAACACTTCCTAACCCGTCTCAACCAACTGAACCATAAAAGCACAATAAATCAGAAACACCAACAACAATGCTGAACTACATGAACCACAGTAAACACACTTATAACACCATCACCCCAAACTCCCATAGTGCATTGCAGCACAACTGTTCAGTCTCAGCATATCTGGCTCTGGGATCACTACAATATGAGTAGCTTAAGTTAATTGGGCCCGGGGCCAACTCAGTGTGGCTAACGTGAATAAGCTAACTATTCTGGCAGTGGGGTCTGCCGGATTATGCCCCCCCCCCCTCTATTTCTGCCCCCAAAGGACTTAAAGCCACCAGATTCACAGCATTTATTGGTGATCAGGGTCTGAGCATAATCTGAAAAGTTAAAATGCTGGGACCAACAGGGACAGATTTACAGACCATATACTACAATGTGCTATTGTTCTGAAATGCTCTGCAGCAGAAAATCAGCTTTCTGTAGCCACTGGTTCTGTGAAACTGAGCTGAGCCGGACACATTTAAAGAGCTCATCTGTCTTGCCAAATGTCTGCACTGGTTTTTGTTTCTTTGCACAGGTTGCGCCTCATGTTCTGAGGATGAACCCAGACTGAACGTATTGTTGTTGTTATTGTTCTAAAAAGGTGTTTGCACATTTTGTTATATTTTTATTTGAGAATGTGTCTGATGGAGTTGACATTGAAGTTATTTTCTTATTTGCAGAGCACACTGACAGTGTTTTTGCAATAAAAGGTGAACTCGACCCATTTTGTAATAATTTTGTTGGGGTGGGGGGCCTACATTTTTTTCCTCTTACAAAGGAGGGCGACAGAAAAAGATTGAGAACCACTGGTTTAATGTATAAGACCAGTAACACCAGACAGGGAGGAGTCGTGGACAGACATTTAATATGATCAGACGCAAACTAGAAACCATTTGGAATGATCAGGGTGGAGGAAAATGAGAGAAACAATGTCATTATTGTCTTTATTTGTAGGTGAAGACGGACCAGAGAAGCAGGCTGCAGGGGATCAGCTGCAGCCTGGATGCTGCTGAGCCTCTCACAGAATCTCCCTCCAACAGAACCTCAGAGCTCCTCTATAGAAAACCCAGAAACATTCATGGTTCTGAGCCTGGCTGCAAATTTAGCCACTGATTCTACAGCCCCATCAAGACATTATTATTTATTGTCTTTGTTTTTATTTAATTTTATTGTTTTATTTTTTCTTCTTTTAATTTTTACATTCAGCCTTTAAAAAGCCATTTTCAACTGGCCATTCAACAATAGGCTGTAAAAGTAACATCTGCAGTCAGATGTCATGTGTCCCGGACAGCCTGCTGCCCCCTGCTGGAAACAATCCCAGAGGAAACACTGATCCAGGCCTGTATGTCCTTCAGACATGTTGGAGTCTGTCCAGCTGATTGGTTTCATTTGGCTTTATACATAAATATAACTGGGTGTCGTCTGCATAACAGTGTAAATGTCTGCAGTGCTTCCTGATAGTACTGCCTAAAGGGAGCATGTACACTTTATTGTATATAATGCTTTGTGTATATAGTACTTTGTTTAAATTATTTTTATTTCTAGTATTCTTATTTTTATTCTTATTTGCACTGCTGCTATTGTCGTGTTCTTCCACACAAGTTTCGTTGTACTTCTGCACAATGACAATAAAGTCTCTTTATTTATTTATCTTATTTATCAAGGTCCTAACACAGAGCCCTGTGGAACTCCATCACTACCTCTGCTGCAGGTGGAGGAATCATCATTAACATGAACAAACTGGAATCTGTCTGATAAATATGATGCAAACCAGTTCAGTGCAGTTCCTCTAAGCCCAGTAAACATTCCAGTCTCTGTAATCAGATGCTGTGATCCACTGGATCAGATGCAGCACTGAGGTCCAACAGAACCAGTACAGAAACTGGTCCACTGTCTGAAGCTAGAAGAAGATCATCAGTGACCATCACCAGTGTGTCTCTGTTCTATGATGCTTCTAAATCCTGACTGAAGCTCTTCAGACAAACATTTCTATGCAGATCATCACATAACTGGCGGCAACAGCTTCTTCCAGACTTTTAGAACTTTTAGGGAGGTTGGATCTGGGCCTGTAGCTAGAGCGCCTGGATCTAGAGCAGGCTTTGTGAGCAGTGGTTTTATTATTAGAGCAACGGCTCCGACGGGCTGGAGTGGGCGTGGCGCACAGGCCACATTTGGCTAATAAGACCAGTTTCTGTGTTTAGATTAGCGGTGACGGCACCGTTTCCGCGGCGGCGGGGGTATTTGGAGATCAAGTTTGATATCCCGATTCCAGCACAGCGAACGAATAGCCGGCTTTTTGTTCCAGCCCTACACAGAACCCTGATCAGCTCATGTCTCTGTTCTCTGCTCATCTCACTGAGACAAACATCTGCTGAAATGTTTCCTTCTCCTCCAGAAGCAGTGAAGCTGCTGAGGTCTGGTCACCATGACATGAGCATCACACTGGACCAGCCAGTTACTGGTGTTTAATGTCAACCAGTCCAGCAGACTGGTTCTGTCCCACAGTGTTTATCAGATGACTGGGGAGCTCATGTCATCAGAGGGCTGCTTCCCCTTTGCTCTACTGATCACATCATCAATAAACTTTATTGTCCTTCTAAGGCAGTAAAATGTTCTTTGGCCTCATCCAGGAAACCAACAGTTCCTTCAGATTAAAACATCACTTCCTGTTGTCTACAGTCACATCCTGCTGTGTTCACTCTCATGT